TTTTTCCTCGTTCTAATTGGATTTCCCCCCTTAACGCGAGCGGTGCCGACAATGGCCGTTGATCCCTCGGATCTCTCGATCTCCCGCAACCAGCTCTGTCACAATGCCCAGCCCCGATCGTGCGCTCAGATATACCTGAGGACTTCATTGTGCGGACTGAAAGAGGACGAGGGCGTTCTACGCTCGGGCGAATTCATATTCGATAAACCAACGCGCGCCTGACGTTTAGCACTCGCCTGTTGCGCCGCGCGACAATTACTTTCGCTTTACGGTTGCCGTAAATTAATTTTAATGATACGCCCGTTATGATTTATCGCGCGGGGATCGTGCGTACCGAGACAGCCACTTCGCGAGTGTCTCAAGCGTGCACTTGCCCCGAATAGGGAAAACTGCCGTTTGCTTTTCGCAAGTGAACGTCGCGAGTGAAGATATCGTTTGTCCACTTAATGACGTCTGATTCAAAATCAGGGAAGAAGTATTCAAAAGTTTATTCTTACTTTGCTTACCATTATTCTTACGCGTTTTCCCATTATTGATTAGTTCCAGTGGATGAAAATATGAAACATTTGTCGGACTCAAAATTAGCGGTTTGATTTCGCTGGCGATAATGCTCTCCCGATAGGAGACCGACTAGATGTCGCATATTTTAGAATTTTGAAGTTACAACTTTTCAGACAATCAATTGTTGTGACTGACTGTACAAACATGATAGAGACAGTCTTCTTTTATGTGTTAATACCCATCATGTATATTTGTTCTGTACTCTCTTAAAATACATCAGTGAAACATCACTGAATATACATTGATTTGCAGTTATAAGTGTTGCACCGAAAGTGCTATACTTATAACTGATATCAGTTTAACTTACTTTAAGAGAATAATAACCAAAATATAAACATATAGCATCTTGCTCTGGTATCGAGTTCAGCTGTCCGTTAGCGAGGGGTAAGGAGACATACACAGAGAGAACGATTTGTTGAATCAAATAAATGTTTCTTTGGAATAGTCCAAACAAAAATTACTTGGTTGACACAACAAAAATATTTCTTTGGAACTAAGCCATAAATAAATATTTTTGTTGCGTCAAATAAAATTTTGTTCCATCAAAAAATTCGTTTGGACTATTCCAAAGAAGTGTTCATTTGATTCAACTAAATCGTTTTCTCTGTGTAGGGCCGATTGTTTCAACTCTTGCTAAGCTACCTGACAGTTGAATCATATGTTTGTCTTCGTTTTTCTTCAAGACACACGATTTACCAGTTAGTTCGTACTACTATTAACTGCAGCCGATTGTGAATTAGAGTTCCCGTTCGCTTGCGAGATATGCTTTTCAACGCGCGCCTCGAACTTTGCCCGATAAAGTCCGCGTTCTCCGTTTCTTAGGATCGGGCACGACGATTGGAGGAATATCAGGTGGAAATCGGCCGAGGAAGAATGGCCGCCGCCGGAATAAATTATCAGTCCGCGTGGCTTCGACCGTTTGCACACATTGTACATTGGAATTAATTCTATGCGTGTGTTTAAGCACGTCAATACGTTGTTGCAATCTTAGGACGACGTATCGGGGCGATTTAAGAGGACTGGAGGGTCAGATTGCTTGAAAATCGTGCTTGTTTTTTTCATAATTTTTTATGACAAGCTGAATGAATATGCGAAAGTGTTATTTTGACGTGTATTTATATAACATATAAAGAGAAGAAAAATATAATTTTGATGGCCAAATATAATAATATAAATATAAATAATGTAAGTAATATAAGTAAATTAATATAAGTGTATATGATACATGCAGTTAAAATATATTTCGTTCTTCTTTTTAAAGTCGTTATTTTGCAGTAATATCTTGACTCTCAGTGATTCCATTAAGCGGAATTTTAGGTAGAAAATTTCCGTAAGCTTGTCGTTATCGTGTGAACCACGTGTGAATAGAAATTGAGTAAAAGTTAACAAAATTACAAATATCTTAATGGAATATTATTAAATTTTCAGTTCTTTTATAGTAAAGAAATTAATATTTCAAAATTAAATATTTTCACGGTTTTGTCAGTAGTTCACACGATAACAACAAACTTACGGAAATTTTCTACCTAAAATTCAGCTTAATTGAACCACCGAGAGTCAAAATATTAAAATGACGACTTTGAAAAGAAAAACGAAATATATTTTAACTGCATGTACCATACATTTATATTGAGTATTTGACCATCAAAATTATATTTTTCTTCTCTTTATATGTTGTATAAATATGTTATATGTTGTACAAATATACGTCAAAATAACACCTTCACTTATTTATTCAATTTTTTATAAAAAATTGTACACGTCAAGATATTACTGCAAAATAACGACCTTGAAAAGAAGAATAAAATATATTTTAACTGCATGTACCATATACTTATATTGATTCACTTATATTACTTACATTACTTATATTGATATACTTACATTGATATACTTATATTGATATTATTATATTTGATCATCAAAATTATATTTTTCTTCTCTTTATATGTTAATACACGTCAAAATAACACTTTTGCATATTCATGCAGCTTGTCATAAAAAATTGTGAAAAGCACGTTTTTCAAGCAATCTGACCCTCCAGTCCCTTTAAGCGCGACAGAAACATTCACCGCCGGGACAATACACGTCGACGTCGTTCCGTTCTTTTGCAGGATGGTGTTGGTGGTGAACGGGGTCCTGCAGGAGGAGATCCCCTCGGACAGTAGGTCTTTATACGCGGCCCACCCGGTATACCGCGAGTCCGCGGCCCAGCTGCACTCGATGCCGGCGAAACTCGTGGGCCCGGTGGGCCTCCTCTACGTCCAGCAACGAGAAATGGCTGCGACTCTGCCGCACGACAGTAAGTGCAATGCATCTTGGCGCCGCGTCGAGAACGTGCCGCGCGATGGCGGCTTTATAATAAGAGACGCTCTCAGTTCAAATGCATGCGATACGCGGAAATCGTCGCGTGACGGAGAGCTACGCACGCAGATATCGCAAAAAAGGCATGTGATTCGCGTCAATAGACATGCGCGCGCGCACTCTCTTTCTCTCTCTCTCTCTCTCTCTCTCTCTCTCTCTCTCTCTCTCTCTCTC